AGATCACAAAACTGCACTCCAGCCCGGTTGACAGAGCAAGACTCCATCTAAAACAAACAAACAAACAAACAAACAAAAAGAATATTCTTCTGCATGTTAGTTTCTCTTGCACAACTTCAAAACTGTTTTAAATGAACACATCTTTATGCTATGCCATGATCAGCAATAAAATACATTAAAACAATTAACATTTAAACATATAAATGACAATATACAAGAAACTTATTATACTTAAAGGCATTTATTATCAAACGTTGAAAAAAAAAGTAACATCTCCAATCCATGGTAACAGCTATAACTGAGGACAGACTTTATTTCAGGAATGTATATGTAATAACTTTTCATCCTAACTTTTCATCTGGCAAAATAGATTTGTTTGTTTGTTTTTTGAGATAGGATCTGTCTTTACCACCCAGGCTGGAGTGCAGTGGCACCATCATGGCGCATTCCACAGTGACCTCACTCTCCCGGGATCAAGTCATCCTCACACCTCGGCCTCCCAAGAAGCTGGAACTAAAGGCATGCACCACCATGCCCAGTTAATCTTTGTATTTTTTTTAGAGACAGCGTTTTGCCCTGTTGCCCAGGCTGGTCTGAAACTCTTGAGCTCAAGAGATCTGCCAGATGTCAGCCTCCCTAAGTGCTGGGATTACAGGTATGAGCCAACCCCTAAGTAGGTGTAAAAATCCCTATTTAATGTAAGAAATTGAGGCACCATGAACAGGCCACAAGTTTAAGAACTGGGAGAGCTGGAACCCCTCCCTGCCCTCCCCCAGGATCTCTTAGATTTGAGCTCGGTATATCAAACTAAGGGGGCAGGGAGAGCTAACTTAATGTTAGCTGGCAGGCTGGTTTAGGTTTGTGGCAGAATTTTCATTGATTTATGAGAAAATGGGGAAAAGTAAGGACACAAAATAAACTTTTTTTTTTTTTTTTTTTTTGAGACAGTTTCCCTCTTGTAGCCCAGCTGGAGTGCAATGGCACCATCTCTGCTTAGTGCAACCTTTGCCTCCTGGGTCCAAGTGATTCTCTTGCCTCCGCCTTTGGAGTAGCTGGTATTACAGGTACACATCACAGCGCTCAGCTAATTTTATATTTTTAGTAGAGAAAGGGTTTCACCATGTTAACCAGGCTGATCTGAAAGTAAACTTTTCAATATAACTAAATGATTCCATTTAAAGATCTTTTATTCTGGCTGGGTGCAGTGGCTCATGCCTGTAATCCTAGCACTTTGGGAGGCCGGGGTGGGCAGATCACGAGGTCAAGAGATCGAGACCATCCTGGCCAACATGGTGAAACCCCGTCTCTACTACAAATACAAAAATTAGCTGGGCATGGTGGTGCACACCTGTAATCCCAGCTACGCAGGACACTGAGGCAGAAGAATCACTGGATCCAAGGAGGTGGAGGTTGCAGTGAGCCAAGACTGATCGTCCCACTGCACTCCAGCCTGGCGAAAGAGCAAGACTCCGTCTCAAAAAATAAAATTTATTGTGAGAGATTCTGTTCTTTCCAATTGTTTGAGTGAAAATATCCTTTTGTTAAATGAAACGATAGTGACAGGAGACAGTGGTGTGATATTTGTTTTTACTGGCTGTACTTGGTAGAAATAAAAAAATCAGGCCAGGCACAGAGGCTCACAAGGTCAAGAGATCGAGACCATCCTGGCCAACATGGTGAAACCCTGTCTCTACTAAAAATACAAAAATTAGCTGGACATGGTAGCACATACCTGTAATCTCAGCTACTCAGGAAGCTGACACAGGAGAATCACTTGAACCCAGAAGGCAGAGCCTGCAGTGAGCTGAGATCATGCCACTGCACTCCAGCCTGGCAACAGAGCAAGACTCTGTCTCAAACAATAAAATAAAATAAAATAAATCAGCATTTCTATTGTAGCCTTCTTATTTTGGGAAAATATTTCTTTAGAAATCTAAAAGTCTGGCCCTTTACATCATTATGGCCCCAAAATAATAGGGGACTTTACACATAGATAACACATGCCCCTCAAGATTCTCTCTTTAACCTCTATCTTATTCTGTTTGGATTAGGATATTTGGAGATTGTGAAATTAGAATAAAGTTGAGTATAAGCAATCCAAAACCATGTGCTGACACTGGATCCTGGAAGAGGACTTTCTTCAGAATCATCTGTTAACTTTTCTCTGGGCTCAAACTTTTTTTCCTTTTTTTTTTTTTTGAGGCGGAGTTTTGTTCTTGTTTACCAGGCTGGAATACAGTGGTGCAATCTCAGCTCACTGAAACCTCCGTCTCCCGGGTTCAAGCAATTCTCCTGCCTCAGCCTCCCAAGTATCTGGGATTACTGGCATGCACCACCATGCCCACTGACCGAATTTTCTATTTTTAGTAGAAACTGGGTTTCTCCATGTTGGTCAGGCTGGTTTCGAACTCCCAACCTCAGGTGATCTGCCTGCCTTGGCCTCCCAAAGTGCTGGTATTACAGGCGTGAGCCACCGTGCTCGGCCTGGGCTCAAACTTCTTTTCCTAAGAGTCACATCTTTGAGAAGTACTGCTACATGGCAATCACTACGCAAAATAAACTAACTTGAGGTGTCCAATAATCAGCTTTCATTTAAAGTCTCTTTTAGCTAGACAAAATAAAAACTTTCAATGTTTTGTCTACCTACATCCAAAAGAAAATTAGTCTATATAGGTATATATATGTGATTGTGTATACACACACACACACACACACACACACGTGATTTTGATCAGCCTGTTTATAAACTATTTCCAAAATAAGCTGACCTGTAAATTCATTTATTAAATGAGTAGTTTATAAACTACTTGATTTTTGCAAGTAGTTTATAAACAGGCTGATCAAACTGAACAAATTTCTTAAAATAATTTCACTGTATAAATAGCAAGTAAGTTATTTACTCTTCTTATTAGCATATCTTATTTTTACCTATCCTTTAACAAGCATCTAAGTTAAACTGTTTTATGTCCACAGCTACACACTGAAACAACACTTTCAGTCACAACATAATAAATTCACAAACTATAAAGAGATCCAGTTACCTTTAGTCTTACATGTACTTATATATACTTTTAATATACTTCTTGATGTTGTATAATGCACAAACATCCAGCTCTTGCAGGACATATAACTGAGAATATTTAGAGTGTTTGCTTATTAAATGGTTCAAAACTCTTTTTAAAGTCTATTTTAAGAACTTAAGCATACGGTAAAGTACTCCTTCCATGTACCAATGTTAAAAGACCCAATTAGACTACTTGTTTCAAAAAAAATCTAAAATTGATCATAATTCTGCTTAAATTCCATATTAACCTAGGATCAAAAGTTATTTTTAGTTCTTGTTTCTTAAATACCTGAAATGTGCTGCTGCATGTTTTCCTTATGTATTTATTCATTCGACTAACTTCAGGTGGAAGGTACTTAGGAGTTTAAAAGTCCTTTCCCAAAGTGGAAAAAACAAAAATTTTGCATAAAAGACACTCAATGTTTCTCAAAGGGTATCTGAGAGTCTAATCAGCCTATTAACTTGGTTCGGAATAACCACCACCAACAAGTATGAGCTTTTTGTCATATGTATGTTTTTTTCCCTGTAAACTAATACCTCCATTTTAAATGCATTTTCAAAATGTTTCATTTGGCCATGTGATAATTATTTCCTCTGTAAAAAGCTATAGGATTTTAGTTTAAGAGCAAAGGAGATAGAGTATCTGGTCCATGAGAAGATTAAATGGAAAGATCAGCACCCTGAAATTTGTAACCAATAACAAGACACACTCCAATGCTACCTTGTTCATGTAATCAACAATATGAGTCGAAATAAACTAGTGAGCTATACATTTCTGTCTACTTACTAATTTACCAATCAACAGGAGGGGAAGAAATTGCCCAAATGTGACTACTGTTAACAAACATCTAAATATTAGACATAGTCTCCATTAAAATCAATTAAACCTATCAATTCTGAAATCATTCCTTTGACTTGTTATGTTTTTAATCCTCCCTCAGAAAACAAACACACCAAAAAACAGCAGCTACCTTTAAAATGTAAATTCCTCCCTTTTTCAAAGTAACTTGCCTAGGAAAATTTAATGCGTTAAAATAAAATAACAGACAAATCAATTACAATATTAAAAAAGAAAACTAAAATGATCAGTAACACAAATCTCTCAAGTTTAGCAAAGCGTGTGTTTTTAATCTGTTGGAGGTATCCTATTATACTAATAAGCAACAACGTTTAAGTCATCCCAATGCCTAAAATACTACCATACACACAACATACTTGTCCTTTACTTCGATGAAGCTTAAACTCAGACCCAAACTCACACCATTTCCCCCTCCTGGCACACTGAAATAGACGAGAGGAAATTAAAGAAATCAGATATGTTAAGTGCCGGTATCTTCCTCCAGAGTAGGGTCACATTCGTGTTTGCCCGCAATGTCACCGTCCCAGGAAGTCTGCAAATTCTTACTGGCGCTGGAGTACAAAGAGGCCTGACCACAGAAACACCTGTCCTAGCACCAGGAAGCACCTGAGTCGGCGCCGGCCCCAAAGCCTCCGCTGCAGCGATGGGGGAAAGAGGGGGCCTCTGGCCTTGCGGGTGGGGCGGACAGGGTCCCACACCCGCAGCCCGCCTCCCGGAGAACCAGGAAACCTGTCAGGCTGGCTGGAACCCACCCTCCTCAGACCCTCGCGCTCCAGCCCAGAGCAGCCCCCGCCCGCCCGACTACACCCAACCTTCCCGGCGACCCGACTGCATTCTGCCACCTCATCCCTCCCTGTCGACCTCGAGGCCCCGCCACCTACGCGGCGCAGCCTGGGCTCGGGCCGCCCCTGGGGCAGGAGCGTCCAGCCGCCGCCCCCCGCCCGGCCCGGCCCCGTCCATTTCCCCGCGGCCCAGTCCCCGCCGACTCCAGGCCCGAGCTCCGGCCTCACGCTCCCCACACCCAGCCGCCGCCCTCGCCCCGCGCGGCCAGTCCCAACGCACTCCCCAGCCAGTTACCTGGAAGCAAGGGCGGCAGAGCACTTCACCCAGGGCCCCAGGTTGAAGAGGGCCCGGTGCTCGGGGTCCAACTCATTCTCCCGCTCCGCCGCCGCTGCCGCTGACTCCACCATCGCCACAGCGCCCCAACAGCTCGGTAGCTTGCTCCAAGACCGGCCCCGACTGGCCCGCCGCCCAACTGCTCCTAAAGCAGCGAGGCAGGGGGAGCGGAGAAGGTGCGGAGAAGGCGCGCGCAAGCGCGAAAGGAGGAGACGGGGCGCGCAGCTGCCAGGGAGGCTGGATTGGCCAGCGGAGACCGAAGCTGCAGGTCGCGGCGCGCGTGATGGGCGGGGCCCGGAGGGGTGGTGGGACCGTGAGGGGGCGGGGCCTGGAAATAGTGAAGAGAAGAGCAGCTTTTTTTTTTTTTTTTCTTCAAAAACTCAGGCAGAACAACTAAGCCAAAATATGTTTCAAAACGTTTAAAAAGAAAACTATACAAGAGGAGGGAATTGTGGGAAGTAGAAAAGTTCCTGTGGTCCCAGCTCCACAGGAGGTTAAGTGGGAGGACTGCTTGAGCCCAGAAGTTCAAGGGTGCAGTGAGCTATGATGTGCCACTGAACTCCAACGTGGGTGACAGAGGGAGACCCTATCTGCAACAAAAACAGTTTGGGGACAGATAAAGCGGCTCATGCCTCTAATCCCAGCACTTTCGGAGGCCAAGACAGGTGGATGACTTGCGGTCAGGAGGTCGAGACCAGCCTGACCAAAATGGAGAAACCCTGTCTCTTCTAATTAACTGGGCGTGGCGGCGCGTGCCTGTAATCCCCGCTGCAGGTCTGCACCACCAGGCTTGACTAATTTTCTTAAATTTCGTACAGATGGTGCCTTGCTATATTGCCCAGGCTGGTCTCGAACTCCTGGCTTCAGATAGTGTTGGAAATAGATGCTCGGTACCGCAAAGAAAAATTAGCACTGAGACAAAGGCTCTTTCATTTTTTACATCTTGGACTGCAGGAAGGGTACTCCTGGTAGCCATTGTGCCGCAAGAGAACAATGAACAAAGGAGGAACCAGGTGAGCTGATCCCAGTTCGGTTCCATAACACAAGAAGCAGATGCCAAGGTGGAATTTGATGTGCAAGAGATTGACAGGAGGAAAAAAAAAAAAAAAAAGCCTGTGAAGAATAAAGGAAAGCGGGAGCAAGAATAAGCATGGATGGGCCGGGTGAGGTGGCTCACGCCTACAATCCGAGCACTTTGGGAGGCCAAGGCAGGCAGATCACCTGAGGTCCGGACTTTGAGACCAGCCTGGACAACATGGCGAAACCCCGTCTCTACTAAAAATACAAAAATTAGCCTGGCATGGTGGTGGGTGCTTGTACTCCCACCTACCTGGAAGGCTGAGGCAGGAGAATCGCTTGAACTCAGGAGGGGGAGGTTGCAGTGACCTGAGATCACACAAATGCACTCCAGCCTGGGTGACAGAATGAGCGGAAAAAAAAAAAATCATAAAAATGAAAATAAAAAATTTTTTTAAAAAGGCATGGATGGACACCGTGGCTCATGCCTATAATCCCAGCACTTGGAGAAGCCAAGGCAGGAGGATCACTTGAGGCCAGGAGTTCAAGACCAGCCTGGGCAACATGGCGAGACCCCGTCTCTACAAAAAAATTAAATTATTAGCTGGGTATGGTGGTATGTATCTGTAGTCCTAGCTACTCGGGAGGCCAGGGTGGGAGGATTGCTTGAGCCCAGGAGGTGGAGGCTGCAGTGAGCCATGATCGAGCCACTGTACTCCAAATCCTATCTAAAATAAAATAAAATAAAATAAATGAATATTCATGGAGAGTGTACTGACCACAGTGCAGGTCTGACAACTGTTTGAGAGCTCTGCAGAGCCCAGAGCAGACTGTCCACATAGGAGCTGTTTGTAAGGCAGGAACGGCCTTAATCTGGAATCTGTGGCATGCAGAGTCATTGACCGGCACAGCCTGGGAAAAGCATGCCTCAGCATGAAGCCTGTGGTGGGCCCATGTGTGTAGCAGATGGAGTGTCTTGGCCAGACAGACCTCTTACAATAGGCTTTTTTTTTTTTTTTTTTAGACAGAGTCTTGCTCTGTCACCCAGGCTGGAGCGCACTGGCACGATCTTGGCTCACTGCAACCTCTGCCTACCAGGTTCAAGCGATTCTCCTGCCTCAGCCTCCTAAGTAGCTAGGACTAAAGGCACGCACCACCATACTTGGCACTTGGCACATTTTTGTATTTTTAGTAGAAGTGGGGTTTCACCGAGTTGGCCAGGCTTGTCTCAAACCCCTAATCTCAAGTGATCCACCTGCCTCAGCCTCTCAAAGTGCTGGAATCATAGGCATGAGCCACCATGCCTGCCCCAGTATATATTTTTTTAATGAATGAATGAATGGACATTCAAAAAATGTTAGCTATTAGTATCTTTTCACAAACAATAGGCCCACAGCAAATCTCTTTTCACAAATAAAAAGGAAGTCCTCACCACAGAGATTATTTCACCACTCCAGAAAAAAAAAAAAAGATGAAAACTTTTAAAAGAGTGTTTTGTAGACTGGGCATGGTGGCTCATGCCTGTAATCCCAGCACTTTGGGAGGCCAAGGCAGGCAGATCACCTGGGGACAGGAGTTCGAAACCAGCCTGACTAACATGGAAAACCTCGTCTCTATGAAAAATGCAAAATTAGTCAGGCGTGGTGGTGCATGCCTGTAATCCCAGCTACTCAAGGGGCTGAGGCAGGAAAATTGCTTGAACCCGGGAGGCAGAGTTTTCAGGGAGCTGAGATTGTGCCACTGCACTCTAGCCTGGGCAACAAGGAGCGAAACTCCATCTTAAAAAAAAAAAAAAAAAAAAGTGTTTTGTGGTGGAGCACAGTGGCTCATGCCTGTGATTCCAATGCTTTGTGAGGCCAATGTGGGAGGATCACTTGAGGCCAGAAGTTATAAACCAGCCTTGGCAATATAGCAAGACCCTATCTCTACAAAAAATAAAAATACAAAATTAGCCAGGCATGGTGGTGCATGACTGTAACCCCAGCTACTCAGAAAAGCTGAGGCAGCAGAATCACTTGAACCCATGAGGCGGAGGTTTCAGCAAGCCAAAATCGAGCCATTGTACTCCAGTCTGGACAACAAGAGTGAAACTTCATCACACACACACACACACACACACACACACACACACACACACACAAAATAGCCAGGCATGGTGGTGTGTACCTGTAGTCCCAGCTACTTAGCAGGCTGAGGTGAGGATTGCTTGAACCCAAGAAGTCAAGGCTACAGTGAGCCATGATCACACCACTGCACTCCAGCCTGGGTGCCTGTAATTGTGACACACTGACTCCCCAAGCTGCAGGCTTCCTGCTTGTCATGTTGGAAGTTTGATTTCTCATAGACCAACAAAGGGCCAGTCACCTCACCCAGCCTCCATGGCAGGGTTATACTTAACTTTTAATTTTGTTTCATGTGGGAAAATTTTTAACTTCACTAGTTGCTAGTCACTTATATATTGCCAAGATTTTTTTTCTTCAGTGCTTGACCTAATTATTAATGTGTTGAACAACTTTAGAATAAGATATGAATTATTTTCAAAGCCCACCACACAGTCAGAAATGCTAAGGATCAAAGGTGTGGAAATGGAAAAACACTTTGGAGAAATGAAGAGAGTCCAGAGCATCAGAGGAGGAGGACTGACATGATGAAAGACCCTGAGCCACCTGACTTGCCAGGTGGTTGATGCCTTTTATGTTTTAGGCCAGCAGACTGTGCTGCTGTGTTGATTGTACTGCCTTAATTTTAGAAACTGGTAAAGAAAAATTCGTGCTGACACTGGTATGAAAGTAAGGAATACTTTATTTAGAAGTATTGCAACAGGTGCCAAAACTATCATAGTTGGTGCATTAGTACTCGCACTACTAACCAGAAAAACCTGAGGCTGGGTAATTTATAAAGAAAAGAGTTTTAATTGGCTCATGATTCTGCAGACTAAACAGAAAGCATGCCTGGGATTTATACCCAACAAGCAGAATGAGGGGGTCAGTGGATAGAAAATCACTAAAAGGAGACATCGAAGGTAGGAGGATCCTTGCTAAACTGAACATAATTCCTTCTAAAGGCAAACCATGATAATTGTATACTGAGTGTGTGGGATGCAGAAATTGATCGGATGTCAAGGGTAATCTGCTATCAAGCATGGAGGGATTCTCATAAAACTAAGATTCTTGCTACAACTGGAGTTGGCAGACCTAAGAATGGGCCCAAAGGCATGACCTAGTCAAAAACAGAGTTCAGAGGAATCTGACTAAAGTTTGGTGAAGGGAAGAGTCTTTGTCAGAACCTTAAGGTGTAAGAGACAGAATTACCTGCCAAACAGTTACATGAGAGATAAAATGTTATGTCTTTTGAAAAAAAAATGCCATTTAATAAGATTTTAATAAATGAAATATAGATTTTTAAAATTTTAATCAGTAATGTTAAGAATTTTGGAAGCCTCTTCATTTTTAACTTGTATTTTAAAACAATTCTAAACCTATAGAGAGTTGCAAAGATAGTACAGGGCATTCTCTTCCCTTCACTCAGCTTCTCCTAATATTAACAACTTACATAGCCATGAAACAATGATCAAAACTAAGAAATTAAAATTGGTGCATTAATATTTGCTAAATTTCAGACTTCAATGTGATTTCCTTAACTTTTTCACTAGTGTTCTTTTTCTGATCCAAGAATCAGTTCAGGATCCCATATTACATTTCATTGTCATGTGTATTCTCCTCATTCTGAAACACATGCTCATTCCTTCCTGACTTTCATTACCTTGAGGCTTTTGAAATATCTGCTGCAGTGTCTAATGAAGGAAAAACATGGACTAGGCCTTCTGCAACTGGCTGCCATCTACCATCTCTTAGGGGAATCTGAAGTCTCCTGAAGTCTCTTCTGTCCTTGAGAGACAAGAAAAGGGAGGTTCTCCTCATTTGGCCTAGAAGCTCCAAGGTGTTCCTGCTAAGCAGGCTATGGTTCTAAGTCAGGTCACAGCCTAGAGATACAACAGGACCACAGCAGCACAGTACCAGGGCCACCAGTAGAGGAAGTAAGAGAGCCATTGAGAAATGAGGATGCTGCTGGCCTGGCTGAGCTTGGGTCTGGGTGAACCTGGGACGGTAGGTTCTCTAAAACCTTCTTTCTATGTGTGGCTTTATTAGAGAACACCATAGTTTTCATTTTCTGAACATTTTCCTAGACTTTTGATTACACTTCTTGTTTTCAATTACTT